CACATCATTGCCCCTTTAACGAGAAAACTCATATTGCAAGGGCCCCCTTTGTTTTGTTTGATTGAACACCTGTAGCCTAACTCTTTTTATCTCTAGGAGTTCATTTTCACAGCCTGGAAGAGCCCTACGCAGAAAGCAATGAGCTCTCTGCCTCAGATCTTTTGGGACACATCCCAGGGGCCAGCCAGCCTCACAGAGGAGAGAAAAAAGGGAAAATAAGCACGGCTACATAGCCACCTCCTGTTATCACTGCACCAGAGGGGGGAAAAAAGTCACTTTTTCCCTTAAAAAACCCAAATGCCATGGTATTCCCCTCCCCCCTTGTCTCCCCTTTCTCTCTTTGTCCTTCTCTCTTTCTCTCTTACTCTCTATCAGAGAAAGTAAAATGAAGGAAAATAAACTTTGCACTTCTTCCTATCCTAATCTTCATATAAGAAATCTTTTTCTACCCATCCCTGCAAGCTGCCGGTAAGTCCCCCACCCCAGCACAAAGGAAGCCAGAGGATGGAGGCAATGTGAAAATAAGGATGAAAATCTTCCTCTTTCTCCTAACCAGAGTTTAGATGTACAGCCAAAAACATAGGAAGCCTTGGCTCGGCACCTGTGGCTCTAGCGGCTAAGGCGCCAGCCACATACACCTGAGCTAGCAGGTTCGAATCCAGCTGGGTCCCGCCAAACAACAATGATGGCTGCAACCAAAACATAGCCGGGCGTTGTGGCGGGCACCTGTAGTCCCAGTTACTTGGGAGGCGGAGGCAGGAGAATTGCTTGAGCCCAGGAGCTGGAGGTTGCTGTGAGCTGTGATGCCACAGCACTCTACCCAGGGTGACAGCTTGAGGCTCTGTCTCAAAAAAAACAAAGGAAGCCTTGATTTACTCAGCATGAAGGCATAGCCAGAAAAGCCCTGGGAAACCCAGAGCATCACACTTAAAAGTGATTAGTCCTCTGAGTCACCAAATCCAACCTCCACCATGTAGTCCAACAAAAATACAAATACTATAACAACAGTGAACAGATGTTCCTCTCAGGGTTCCACAAAACTGGATGAAGGGTGTCTTTCCACTGCAGAATGAGCACTGGCAAATTCTAAAACTTCTTCCCACCACTTTTTGCTACGTAAGTGTCTCTCGGTGCGCTAAGTTGGGCCGAATTTGTGGTCTGTCATCAGGATCATCTCCGGCAGGGTCGTTTTCCTCACCGGACTCCACGTATATTGGCCAGTCATTGTCTGTGTCACTCTTTTCCTGGCTTTCAGACGAAGCCTCCACCAGGCTGAGGTTGATGGGCATCAAGTCGTCGTCGTCATCATGCGTGTCTGTAATGCAGGTGCAGCTGTCACACAGCCCGAAGCGCCGCAGCCCCTGGGACAGGTGACTCGTGAAGGTTCTTCTGCAGCCCTTGCAGATGATTGGACGATTGGACCTGTGGACCTGTCATCACAAGCGGACACAGTAAACGTCACAGGAAAGGGCTGGGCCTTGGTGTAGAAGGCCCCATGTGATCTGACCCCTCCCTGACCCTCCAGTCTCGATTCTTACCTTTCTCCACTTATTTCTCTGCCATAATCTCAGTCTTACTGAGGTCCTTTCCACTCCAGAGCTGTCGGACATGCACAGAATATCCCCTCCTACTCACCACCAATCATTTACTCCTTATCCCTTTACTCCTTGAAGGAAGTCTTCTCTGATGTGCTGAGCCAGGGCAGATCTCCCAGCTATGTATTCCCACCTGTGATGGTGCTGTGGTGCTTCTCACAAATCATTGGTAAAATTCACTAGACTGGAAGCTCCAAGAGAACAGGGATGGAGTCATTCCCACTCATTACATGTAAGGGGCACTCAGTGAATTATTTCCTTCCTTCCTTCCCTTCTTTCCTTCCTTCCTTCATCTCACTCAGCTTCCCAAGTAGCTAGGAATACACGTGTGCAAGACCATGCCTGGCTTAATACTGGACTCTTTTTTTGAAGACAGAGCCTCAAGCTGTCCTCCTGGGTAGAGTGCCATGGCATCACAGCTCACAGCAACCTCCA